GACATTTGTGGCTGTCAAACCACAAGAATTTGGTAGGTCTGCCCGCAGATCCGAATCGGTCACCACTGGAAAGCCAGATGTGATCTGGCGGGGTCCGCGCCTGAAGGACGAACGCCGCCGACGTGGCAGAGGAGGTTGTCAGTCTCCTTCTCCCCCCTTGCCATCCCCTCCTCCCCCTCCTCCTCCTTCTTCTTTTTCTTCTTCTTCTTCTTCTTCTTACTCTTCTTCTTCTTCGTCCTCTTCTTCTTCTTCTTCCCCACGCCGGCTGCGACCTGCCCCTCCTTTGTCTTCGTTGTCTATATTGGGTCGTCGGCAGGCTCGTTCATTCTCTCCTCCTCCCAGTCCCCCTTCCTCTCGACGTAGTGTTGATGCTAACCTGCGGGGATCCTTGTCTTACCGACAACCTCCTCTGCCACGTCGGCAGCGTTCGTCCTTTACGCGCCGACCCCGCCAGATCACATCTGGCTTTCCAGTGGTGACCGATTCGGATCTGCGGGCAGACCTACCAAAAATGCTTGTGGCTTGACAGCCACAAATGTCTGCCGACAGGCTTATCAGCGTCAATGTTATACCTGTCTCTTATACACATCTAGATGTGTATAAGAGACAGGAGGGGGAGAAGAAGGGGGGAGTGGAGAGGGGGAAGGGGAAAGAAAGAGGGGAAGATGGACAAGAAGGGGAACGGGGAGGGGGAGGGGGAGGGGGAGAAGAAGAGGGAAGTGGAGAGGGAGGGAAGATGGACAAGAAGGGGGAGGGGGAGGTGGAGGATGCAAAAATGGAAAAGAGGAAGGAGGAGGAGGGGGAGAGGGAGAAGGAGAAGGGGAAGAAAGGGGAGGAGAAGGTGGAAGAGGAGGATGCACGGACCAGGGAAGCATGCGTCGAAACCATTGTGTAAGACGAGTTACATGTATAAGTTGTCCACGTTGGCGAGCATGACCGCGGGAAAGCAAACGGCAAACAAGCATGGTTGCCGCAGTTCTAAAACCATGCCAATTATCACAAAACCGCGTAAGCTGGCCGGTGAACACACCTGCAGGCTAATGAGAACGAATGTTTGACGTTGCACTAGGATATTGTATAACAGGAAAATCCCATGCAACTGTCTTGTCAAACACACTCAATCGGAGAGATCCATCTGCTCGTGTCTGCAACCGTCCGCAGAGAGGGAGAAGCGGACAACAAACAAGGGGCTGTGACAAATATATTCATCTATTGTCAATATATCATCAATATATACATTGTCACGAAGTTATGATAAGCCTGTAGGCAGACATTTGTGGCTGTCAA